AGGGATGGAAAACTGCAAAAAAACATTGAAAGCGTTTTGTTATATTGGTTCAATAGGGGCAAATACATTCCTGTTGATCATTCCAGAGATCTGAGGAGTGAATAACCTTCTGTGCTCTCTGCCTGTTCTGTTATCCACTACATTGTTCCCAGCTATCTGTGGACTACAAAACACAAAAAGGGTGAGGTGTTCTGTACTTCTATGCTAGGGTGACCACATTGCTCCTTCATAGATGCAATATAATGAGTGAACATTGTCATCATAGGACAGGAAGTGTGTTACGGGCAGGATCACCATGTAAAAATAAGGTATAAAAGTCTGGACATTACATAGGGGGAAGCTAGGTAGGATTTTTAAGCAACTGTAAAGCACTTAAAATGCAAACAGCATTTTCTTTTTTAAGTTATGCAATGTAAATGGAAACATGGATATAACAAATATAAAGTAGGTGTTATCTCAATTTGGCTGCAAAAGTGGAAATACACTTTAAGTCAGGCTACTTGGCTGACCTTCAGTAAAGGTCACAATCTCGGCTTTCAAGGAAACCTGTGGTGAGGAAGTATGGAGTTTGCCATTGCCTCTCCTTCTGAAATAATGAGTTGCCTTATTGTCATGCTGATTGAGCGGCTGCACTACTTTCAGGATCACTGACTTGGACTAAGCATGTACAGTGGCTTGAAAAAGTATTCACCCCCTTGGCATTTTTCTTATTTTGTCGCATTACCACCTGGAATTTAAATGGATTTTTATTTGGATTACGTGTAATGGGCATACACAGAATAGTCCAAAATGGTGAAGTGAAATCAAGAAAATAACTTGTTTAAAAAAATTATAAAAAATGGAAAAGTAGTGCATGCATATGTATTCACCCCCTTTGCTATGAAGCCCCTACATAAGATCTGGTGCAACCAATTACCTTCAGAAGTCACATAATTATTAGCTAAAGACCACCTGTGTGCAATCTAAGGGTCACATGATCTCTGTATATATATACACCTGTTCTGAAAGGCCCCAGAGTCTGCAACACCACTGAGCAAGGGGCACCACAAAGCAAGTGGCACCATGAAGACCAAGGAGCTCTCCAAAACAGGTCAGGGACAAAGTTGTGGAGAAGTACAGATTAGGGTTGGGTTATAAAAAAAAAAAAAAAAAAAAAAAAAAAGTTGCACCATTAAATCCATTATTAAAAAATGGAAAGATTATGGCACCACAACAAGCCTGCCAAGAGAGGGCTGCCCACCATAACTCCACGACCAGACAAGGAGGGCATTCATCAGGGACGCAACAAAGACCAAAGATAACCCTGAGGAAGCTGCAAAGCTCCACAGTGGAGATTGGAGCATCTGTCTATAGGAGCAGTTTAAGCTGTACACTCCACAGAGCTGGCCTTCATGAAAGAGTGGCTAGAAAAAAGCCATTACACAAAAAAATAAGCAAACATGTTTGCTGTTTGCCAAAAGGCATGTGGGAGTTTTCTCAAACATATGGAAGAAGGTACTCTGGTCAGATGAGACTAAAATTGAGCTTTTTGGCCTTCAAGAAAAATGCTATGTCTGGAGCAAAGCCAAGACCTCTCATCACTCCGAGAACACCATCCCCACAGTGAAGCATGGTGGTGTCAGTATCATGCTGTGGGGATGTTTTTTATCAGCAGGGACTGGCAAACTGGCCAGAATTGAAGGAATGATGGATGATGCTAAATACAGGGAAATTCTTGAGGGAAACCTGTTTGTCTGCCAGAGATTTGAGGCTGGGACGGAGGTTCACCTTACAGCAGCACAATGACCCTAAGCTTACTGCTAAAGCAACACTCGAGTGGTTTAAGGGAAAACATTTAAATGTCTTGGAATGGCCTAGTCAAAGCCTAGACCTCAATCCAATTGAGAATCTGTGGCATGACTTAAAGATTGCTGTACACCAGTGAAACCCATACAACTTGAAGGAATCCCAGTGGCTAGGGGTGCCAAGCTTATAGAGACATACCCCAAGAGACTTGCAGCTGTAACTGCTTCAAAAGCTGGCTCTACAAAGTATTGAGAAGGGGGGTGAATACTTTTGCAAGCCACTGTAGATGCCTAGTTCCGACTTTCTTGATCTGGTTGCTCATTCCAAGTCAGTGACTGAGATAGAGAAAGGCAGAGACAGACCGACAACTAGTATTTTCAGAAGGAGATGAGTATTGGCAGCTCCCACTGTCAGTACAGAATCTCTTTGGAGAGAAAGCAAACCCCGTCATTTGGATATATTTGTCTTAATGTAATATACATTTGGTGACTAATAATCAGCGGTATGAGGTGTCCCTGTTCTGATGAGAGCGGGTCGTCTGCTGCCTAATCTTGTTGCTGAAGCTCTAAGGCACTGTCATCCAGTCCCTGAAGTCATACATTTATAATTTTTTGGAACATGTACATCTAATATGAATATTTTAGTGAAAGGCTGTGCGATTTGTCTGCTGGAATCTGATGGGGTGATCTCATAGCTGCCGGCATTATGAAATCATTTCCAGCGAATCTTTTCTCTTAAGTGAATGCTAGACATTGCCTTAGAGGACATGGTGCACTACAGAAACTGGCATACCACATACGTTTTACTTTATATCACTGATAATCAATAGATACTTCCTATAGAGACTTCAAAAATTAAAAATGGGGATGAGTGTTGCGTGTAGGCTGCCAATTCTGACAGTAGGGCTGGCCATACACTATTGGTTTCTTGTTGGGCTAAACAGCATGGGTGGGGGGAATCTCCCTGCTCTGCTATTGTATTCTGACAGCAGCCGGTGTGTCGCTGTCAGAATACCCAAAACAGAGACTGCAGCTGATTGGCTGCAGTTACTGTGGCTGCAGTTACTGTTTCAGACCATCTCCTTCAACAAAAGTGCATTGAAAATGTAACTTCTGACGAAGGGTGGGGTAGTGACGGGGCCACACGATGCTCAAATTCGAGAACTGCATGCTGTACGAAAACAAAAAATAACCGGTTCCTCCAACCGTTCTCAACACTGTGGATGGATGAATCTCCCACTGAGCTGTTGTATTGTGACAGTGACGGGTGTGCCACTGTCCCAATACCCAAACAGTGATGGCAGCTGATTGGCTGCTGTCACTGTTCACCTTAATATTTTCCATCCGGCATCTTCGATTTTCGAATGAAGCATGTCGACAGGGGCACCCAGTGAACGACTTTCGGCTAGTTCAGCAAGAACCCAACAAAATTTGTACAGTGTATGACCAGCTTTAAAGAAGAACTCCGGATACACATTTTTTTAGCCCTTGCAGTGGGGCTAACCCTGCACTGCAAGGGTTAAATGTTTGTTTTGGTCTAGGGTCTAAAATAAAAAAGATATACTCACCCGATCCCTGGCTCTGCAGCAGTGACTGCTCACCTGTGTCCCCCTTCAAGTCAATGGACTGCATCAGACGTGATGACATTAGCGTGGGGCTTAGACCACCAGAGCCCGTGGGAGAAGAGGCTGCGGGCATCAGTCTAGCAGCCAGGCAGGATCAAGGATTAGGTAAGTATAAATGTTTTTTATTTTTAAATGTCAGACCCTAGACCAAAATGAATGCTTAACCTTTGCTGCTGATAAGTGGCTGCGTAGAGGTTCCTTATCTACAAAGACCCTTTTGGGGTGATAAGGAACCTACACACAGGCCAATTATCTACAAAGACACTTTTGGGGTGATAATTGGCCTGTGTGTAGGTTCTAGGGATGTCCCGATACCACTTTTTCAAGACCAAGTACAAGTACTGTCCCTCATTTTGGGGTGATAATTTGACTGTGTATAGGTTTCTTATCTACAAAGACCCCTTTTGGGGTGCTAATTGGCCTGTGTGTAGGTTCCTTATCTACAAAGACCATTTTGGGGTGCTAATTGTCCTTTGTATAGGTTCCTTATCTACAAGGACCTCTTTGGAGTGATCATTGGCCTGTGTATAGGTTTATTTTCTACAAAGACCCCTTTGGGGTGATAATTGGCCTGTGTATAGGTTTCGTTTCTACAAAGACCCCTTTGGGGTGATAATTGGCCTGTGTATAGGTTTCGTTTCTACAAAGACCCCTTTGGGGTGATAATTGGCCTGTGTATAGGTTTCGTTTCTACAAAGACCCCTTTGGGGTGATAATTGGCCTGTGTGTAGGTTCCTTATCTACCAGCACATATAAGATTTGCAAACTCCTTTTTTATACAAGAGTTGGTTTCAAATGTATAGGTAAAACACCTGTTTTCCCCGGCTTTTGATTCTTATCCTTGCCATGGGCCCTAGAAACCATTCTATCCCTGTGATATAAAGGCATGGACTGTATTGAAAAAAGCCCAGCTACACACTTGCAGAGCATGCCAAGAAACTTTCTGGTACAGCCCAATGTTTCCAACACATATTATAGACTCTTGATCATCTCTGGTTGGATACTTGCAGTGTAGACTCTCAGCAGTTTACACACTCTGCTTTCTACATTCCAGCAGCTTTTTTGCATAATAATTTCATTATGACACCAATTTCTTATAAAAAAAAAAGGTAAACTGTAATATACATGGCATTCCAACTTTTACTTACAGGCTGTATTTTACATCGTTGTACAGGTGAAACTCGAATAATTAGAATATCGTGCAAAGTTCATTTATTTCACTAATGCAGCTTAAAAGGTGAAACTAATATATGAGATAGACTCATTACATGCAAAGCAAGATAATTCAAGCCGTGATTTGTCATAATTGTGATGATTATGGCTTACAGCTCATGAAAACCCCAAGAACCCCAAATCCACAACCTCAAAAAAGTAGATTATTACATGCAATCAATAAAACAAGGATTGTACATAGAACAATATCGGACCTCTGAAAAGTACAAGCATGCATATGTACTCAGTACTTGGTTTGGGCCCCTTTTGCAGCACTTACTGCAATTACTTTTGCACGATATTCTAATTATTCGAGTTTCACCTGTATATTCCAGTTTGATGGTTTTTAACCCATGCTAATTTTTTCTTTTCTTTCTAGATATGGAAAAATTGTATCTACAAAGGCCATATTGGATAAAACAACCAATAAGTGTAAAGGTATGTGCCTTGTCCTCATCCCTTCCTTGTTATTTCTAGCTTTGCTATTGCTTGGACATAACTTTTGACTATGGTTTAAGATTTCACTGGTCAGTTACTTGCATGACATTCAGTTATGGTTATTGTGGTTCGTCAGCAAGGCTCCATTCACACCAGATCCATTGCGTTGCGATCCGTTTTTAATTGGATACTAACACAACGGCACTGAGAAATGAATGGGTGTGAATGGGAGCAGTAAACACCACTGCGATTCATTTCTGTTCCTTTGCAGTGCAATGGGGGAAAAAAGTAGAGCATGCTGCATTTATTTATTTTTTTCTTCAGCGCAACGTAATGGAACAAAAACAGATGTACTTCCAATGCAACACAACATAACGGAAGTAGAAAAAACCCCATAGATATTTGTCCACTCAGGACATGTTAATTAAAATACAGATTGGCCAAAAAGAGAAAAAAATAAAACGGAATGTATTCAACAGGGGATGGAACTCTGCCCTCCTAAAATATAATTCCTTCCTCCGTGCTGCCAAACAGGCTTATTTGGTCACTCTCATTAACACACTCTCATCCAAACCTCGTCAACTCTTTTCTACTTTTAACTCTCTACTATGTCCCCCACCGCCACCACCCACTAACTCACTCACTGCCCAGGACATTACCATTCATTTCAAAAACAAAATAGATACAATTTGGCATCAGATCGCCACTGTGCAGTCAGCTTTCCCTATTCATGTACCTGACCCACCAACACACTTGTTACTCTCCTCTTTTGACCCCGTCACCACAGAGGAGGTTACCAAGCTTCTCTCTGACACCCACCTCACCACTTGCCCCCTGGACCCTGTTCCCTCACCGCTAAATCAGTCACGCTCTTACTCTATCCTACACTCTCTTACTCACATTTTCAATCTCTCCCTCTCTACTGGCATCTTTCACTCCCCTCTAAAGCATGCCCTGGTCACCCCAATAACCAAAAAAAACATCAATGGACCCTACCAACCTCAACAATCTCAGACCAGTCTCCTTACTCCCATTCACCTCCAAACTCTTAGAATGCCTTATCTACAGCCGCCTGAGCCGTCACCTCGCTGATAACAACCTTCTCGATCCCTTACAGTCCGGCTTTCGCCCCCTACACTCCACTGAAACCGCCCTCCTAAAACTCACTTATGACTTATTAACAGCTAAAAACAATGGCCACTACTCCTTACTCTTGCTATTAGACCTTTCTGCTGCTTTTGACACTGTGGACCAACTGCTCCTCCTCAAAAAACTCCACTCACTTGGCCTACAAGACTCTGCTCTCTCATGGTTCTCCTCCTACCTATCTAAGCGCTCCTTTAGTGTCACCTACAAATCTAACTCCTCCCCTCCTCTTTCTGTAGGGGTCCCCCTAGGCTCTGTCCTTGGACCCCTTCTCGTCTCTATCTACACCTCCTCCCTTGGTCAGTTAACCTCACATGGTTTCCAATACCATCTTTATGCTGATGACACTTAAATCTATCTTTCTACTCCACAACTCACCCCCTCAGTGTCCTTGCGTGTCACTAACTTACTAACTGACATATCAGTCTGGATGTCGCAACACTTCTTAAAACTCAATCTTTCAAAAACTGAGCTCCTGATATTTCCTCCTGCCCGTGCACCTTCCCCAAATTTTTCCCTTGAGATTTGTTAACACAACTATCCAGCCCTCCCCCCATGCCAAGGTCCTAGGCGTTATCCTGGACTAGGACCTCACCTTTCTTCCCCACATCCAATCACTATCCAAATCCTGCCGCCTTCACCTTCGTAACATCTCCAAAATACGCCCCTTCCTCGCCAATGAAACCGCAAAATTACTCATCCACTAACTTGTTATATCTCGTCTTGACTATTGCAACTCCTTCCTCACTGGCCTACCTCTACACAGGCTATCCCCCCTACAGTCTATACACTCATTCATCTAACCAACTGCTCAGTGTCTGCAACCCCCCTCTGCCAATCCCTCCACTGGCTTCCACTCGCCCAAAGGATACAATTCAAAATATTAAGAACCACTTACAAAGCCATCCACAACTCTGCCCCCAGCTATATCTCCAACCTCGTCTCAAAGTATCACCCTAACCGTCCCCTCCGCTCTTCCAAAGACCTCCTGCTTTCCAGCTCCTATATCAACTCCTCCCATGCCGCCTTCGGGACTTCACTAGACTCTCTCCCATCCTATGGAACTCTCTACCCCAACCTGTCCGTCTATCTTGGGCAAACTCCAGCAAACTGGGTTTGTACCAAGCACATGCACATCAGTAGACTAAAAAGCCCTCTGATCGAATCAGTATGTAGTGCAGTAAAGCCTTTATAAAACAGAAGGTATTCAAATGTCTCATGCCATCACATATCTCAAAAATAGGAGGATTAAACACACCTACACCATGAATCCTAAAGAGAGCGATACATGGAATTTTCAGATAATAGCTGGGTAGCACCTCTCAGGACCTCACAATAGAACATATCACATACTCTCATGTTACAGTGCATGCACCATTACCCGTTCATTGGGTTGGTGATTTGGTCCTGTTAGGACCCTCTGTGTTGTTTACTTTCTTTTCCTTTTTTTTTTTCTCCTTTATCCTGTCTTATATAATTGAAAATTGCCTCAATAAAAATCTATTGAAATTAAAAATAGGAGGATTATTCCTCATTTCAGGACAGTGGGTGAAGTCATGGAAATGGAATCCGTAACTATAACTTATCATGCCAAATGGATTGCTTTGACCAATTTAGAGCACATTTTAAAATCTAAGCATGATAGACCAAGGTTTGTTACCTTTGTCAGATTGGGTAGGCTGAAATATCAGTACATGGGTAGCACAGAGGAATAGTGGTTAGCACTTCTACTTTGCAGCACAGAGGGTTCCGGTTCAAATCCTGGTCATCTGCAAGGAATGTGCATGTTCTTCCTGTACGTGCTTGTGCTTGAGTTTCCTCCGGGTACTCCAGTTTCCTCTCACACTCCAAAGACATGCTGGGTGGTTAATTGGCTCCTGTCTAAATTGGCCCATGTGTATCCATGTGAGATCAACCTTAGATTGTAAGCTTCTTGAAGGCAGGGACTGATGTGAATGTGCAGTATGTAAAGCACTGCATAAATTGCGTAAATGTAAATACCTAATATTAAATAAATGGTAATCTGTAAGTAAAGCTGGCCATACATGCGGAAATCCAATTGTTCATTCAGTATTTCAGGTCCAGTTTTTAGTTGTAGAAAGACAGGCTGCTTTCTTTATGGATGGATTTAACAGCAACCAGATGGGGAAAAAAAACCTTCATCAAATGCTGTGGACAATCGGATGGTTTTCCCTTGCTTTGTTTCATTTTTTTTTTTACCAGTCAATGGCATGTGGTTTAATTGGTTACTTGCCATCTATTTTTTGATTGAGGATTGATCAACACTTGTTAAAACGAAAAAAAGACAGATTTGTGGATGGCTTTCATAAGGGTGTACTACATATTTACTATTGTCATGTCTATAAATTGATTTTGAATGTCATCGTTAACAAACAGTATGAAGAGGTTAGGTCTTGGGCATGGAAGGACTAAATGTAATGCAGCTGAGGCAACTAATATCCAAAATGGATAAAGTGAGGATTCACACTGGGAAGGTCAGGTTATCGGGAGATTTGCTTCATTAATTCCAAGAAGGGCTGTTGTTATCAGGTCATGGGGCAGGCACATGTAACAGCAGGATTTCTCACATTCCAGGAATTTCTAGAGTGAGAGGAGTAATAAGGAGTGGAGTGCAATGGATGTGATACACTGGTGAACGGGCCAGACGTTTGAAGGTACCCCACAACAAAGGCTGAATAAGCCGATACATCAGTAGTGGGTGTAGTGGTTTTGTACATATTTTCTTTATTATTTTTGGGAATAAAAAGCACAATTAAAAAAAAAAAAAATGTTTTGTTTTAGTCAGGTAAAATAAATCAATTTACCTCAAACTGTTTGTGCTAAGCAAGATTTTTTCCTGTTAAAACGGTCATGTCACTACATAAAAAGCTTTAAAGCCCATCTCCGGGCAAAAACGTAGCTGTGCAGTGAGGCTACCCAGGCACTGCAAGGGGTAAGTGTTCATTTATGTCTAGGGGACACTACTAAAGCTTTTTTACTTACATGATTCCTGCTGCCACTATCTCTGTCCAGGCTGCTAGTCCAGTCCCCACAGCCTCTTCATCCCTCCTCTCCTGTGGTCTAAGGCCCACTGAGATCATCACATCTGATCTGCATTAACCCTAAACTTCCAGAGCAGAGGGGGAGAGAGGTAAATGCTGACCGCCATGTGAATCGGGATCAGGTAAATAAAACCACTTTATTTGAGTCTACTAGAAAAAATTAGCACTTTACCCTTGCACTGTGGGGTAGCTCCACGTGGCGGACAAATCTGCATTGCACACTTTACAGGGAGTGTCAGATGCCTGCACAATGTCCATCCACCAGCTCCTGCTTCACTACTGTGCCCTACTGTGTGACCGATGGCCAGTAGGGGAAACCACTTCAAGAAGGGGGCCCGACATCCAACACACGCAGAAGCTTACAGCTAGCCTCTGCATAGCAGCAGGTTGTGGGTGGGATCCTCTTGTTAACTTTCAAATACTAGAAAAACATTTCAAATCCTCTGATTCCCTACTCTATGGGCAATTTCTGGATCCTGTTTAGGAATAGATGTGAGTGTTGCACTGGGAGTCACCCTGCAAGACGACTCAAATTGAGGAGGCATGTCTGCATGGGGAAAGGCGGGGGATCCATAAACCAGCTTCACCCACTCCAGGCATTACTGATGTGATTACCCCAGCACTGCTTTTCCAGGACTACCAGGGGTTAGTTGGGTGACCAGTAATTCTGGGCTTGTAGACAAAGCAACAGTGTCTGGTTGGCATTACAGGGAATTCCTGCCCAGAGGCAAAACGTAGCTCCATTTTCATGGAAGATTCCTGGATACATTTAGGTAGGGCAACACATGTCCTATACAATACTCCTTTAATTGCTTTGCCCGAAGTTCAGCTTTCACTGAAAGCCTATGTGTGGGATCATGTAATTTTTGATAATCAAGTAATGTATGGGTAAATTATATGAATGATAAGTGCATGCAGGCATCAGAAGCACTTATCATCCTCTTGAAAAGACTAGTAGATGTACATAGGATTTGAAGGGAGGAAGGTGTATGTTTCTTATAAACATATGTCTCTGTGATTTCTAGAAGATTTCGTCATACCTGGTAGCTGTACTCTAATTAGAGGGTGGAATAAAACGTATAAAGGGTTAAAATGAACCTGTAAGGTGAGAAAAAAAGGGTGCAGGACAATCATTATAGTCCTGACCTCACTACTTGGTGAGTCACTGATCAGGAACAGGTATGCAGGATGGACATTCAGTTTTTTTTTTAGACTTTACTGCATGATCCCTATTTCCAGCCTAACCTGTAATTCTACCGCTCTTTTCACTGCCTTGGCAAATTTCAGAGTGTAAAGCATCATATAAAAGACCCTGTTTTCTCATCTGTCAATGGTGGAGCCTCACTCTTTTCTCTATTGAACCGAGGTGAACACACAGCCATGTCTGCACTGGGACTCCCTTTGTCAGGGACAGGAAAGCAGCTGTGTGCAGTTAGTTCTCAAATAATTATTCTCTAGAGAAAACTGTGCGCAAGTACATAGCAATTTTCATTTCCCATTGAGGTGAACAGAGGTCCCCCTGCACTGCCCACGGAGGATGGTTGGATCTAACATCACTCTGGTGAGCTTGGCATCCAGGTACATGAAGCCTTGCAAACTAAAACTGCAGTTTTTGATATGTAGAAACTGTCGGTATTGGATGGAAAGTTCAGCGTAAGTGAGTGGAGAGAGCAAGGATGATTGGCTTAGTACTGTACGAAACTGAAATCTGGTTGCTGTGGATCACTGCACTTTGCACATCAGTGCTTCTGGCACTGACATACTGAGCAGGCTGTTAGAATACACCTCAACAACCGCAGACAGTTATAGACAGAGCCTGATAGCAATGAGCAGAACATCAGCATGTAGAATAAGTCATAAGCTTGTACAAACAGTGATGTAGCAAGAGATGCATGAGCGTGCAAGTTTTGAGCTGTGGTCCTTCCCCCTTTGCTGCCCAATGCATCAAAAAAATCAGTTTTTAATACAGAGCATGCTGATCCAAGAGGTGGCAGGTACATCTTCCAAAGCAGGACCTTTTGGATGCTTCTCCCTTTGCCTCTGCGTTTGGTTATGTGACCTCACAGATCCATTGACCAAACAAAGCTTCACTATGCCCTACACCAGGAGTAGGCAAACAACGGCCCCCCAGCTGTAGAGTAACTACAAATCCCATTAGGCAGTGCAAGACTGAGTCTTTCTACGTCTCACCTACACCAACAGCTTTGTTGTATGGCTCTGCAATGGATGAGCGTCTGCACACAGAACCATTAAATAGCATGTCAAAGTTTTTTTAAAAAATGCATTACATGCATTGCTCTTTAATACACGCGGGTTTGCTAATATTTTATCCCTTTAACCACACTGCAAGTACATAAAAAATAACTGTTGATGTGCTAGATATCTAGTGTGCTACTCCCTTATGACAAGACAATACAGTGAGGGGAATTCATCAAAACTGGAGCAGGTAGCATCTGGGGCAGTTGCCCGTAGCAACCAATCAGCTTCTATCTTCAGATTATTCAGTTAAGCTTTGAAAATTATTTAGAATGCTGATTGGTTACTATGGGCAACTGCTCCAAATTCTGTCTGCTCCAGTTTTTATGCATTCCCCCCGCTCTATGAATTGCTCTAAATTCCTATGCACATGGTATCAGCCCTGCCTACTTCATTTCCGATGCATTACAAAGGACACAGACCTCTCCTTATGTCCTCCCTCCCTCCTGATCTCCAGAATCACTCGTGCACAGACGGAGAACACGGAATGTTATCCGCTCACAAGATTTCTGGCAAAACCATTAACAGCCATTTTTTGCACTTATTGAAAACATGTATTAAGAACGCATTCAATGGTGTGTTTAGCAGACCAAATTGAGCAAATAAGAGAATTTCATTTATAGGGTTCACATACACTCAAAAAATAGATTGTTGGGCTAGACCCCTCTGGAACAGGGACCTTGTCATGACTGTGGCTGATGTCACCCCTGTTTCTGTCACTGTATAACAAATCCGTTTTTAAATAATTTTACTGCCCAGCTTTGCAAGATCAGATGCGTGTTACAGCTCAAATATAAAGATATGTTTATTTTAATATATGCTGTATTGATTCACTTTCTTTCTCTGCAGGATATGGCTTTGTGGATTTCGATAGCCCCGGAGCTGCTCAGAAAGCAGTAGGTGCTTTGAAAGCCAGTGGGGTGCAAGCCCAAATGGCAAAGGTATGTCGAAAAGTAGTTTTCAGAGTTTTACGTAAGAGCAAGACGCACGTCAAGTCTACCAATTGAGTTCTCAGCATGGTACAAAGCCAAGGAGGACAGCAATCAAAATACAGGATAAACTTCCCTTTAGTGTGATTCGTATAGAAGAACAGATTTACTTAATGGACTTTATGAACTATTGACTATTATAGCAAGGTTTATTCAACATTTTATTATGTATGTAGCACTAGCATCTTCCACATGACTTGCCTGAATCTTTTACAATGCATTGTTTAAAGGTGTCACTTGAGTTGGTGGTGTTAGCTGCAACAAGAATGATGCCGATATTAAGGGGCCTCATGTATAGAATTGTTAGCTATTGACATTAACATTAAATATGGATGGGGCCCACCAGCAGTCATCAAGATTCCTGACATATCATTGTCATTGGACTACCCCTGAGAGCTCTCATATTGGAGATGCTCCATCACGTGAGGAAAGCTTATAAAATAACGCTCTAGGGTTTCATTATCCTATTTTTAATTTTAAAAAAATAAAAATTGGTGACCAAAGTGAAATTTGTGAACTTGAAGAAACAAGCCACTTACTGAACCTAGAGGTTATAATTTAGTCTTCTTTTTTCTAAACTGTTGGTCTATTTGAAAGAGGTAAAAGAAGAGTTAATAATAGAAGATACCAATAGCTGTGAGATTTGGATAATGCAATGTTAATATCAAACTCAATCATCAAATACTGTTTTGGGACTACAGTGAACTTGAGCACAAAGGTGCTCCCAAAAAGATGCAACTACATCCATTAATTATAAGAAAATATAACAACTCAAATATATTTCTGTATAATTGTTGGATGTAGTTGCATCTTTTTGGGGAGTACCTTTGTGCTTAAGTCTTTTGTAGTCCTAAAACAGTATTTTGTTTTTGAGTTTAATATTCGCATCAAACTGTGCACTCTAGATTTAGATGGTGTGTGCGTCAACAATAAATGTTGTATAATGCAGAATTATGTATATACATGCCAAAATGTTATCTGGGAGAATTTTGTTTTTTTTTTACTAAATTAATAACTGCCTACCACTACCGATACCACTTTCGGCGTTTCATTCTCTCCCATTTAGGAAATTCAGATTAGGAATATAAAATACATTTGAAATGCACATGGCAGAATAGATAAAGTTTTGTGCAATGATAACTGGAAGTCGACATTTGATGATTAAAGAGCAGCATTGTTTGTATGTACTGTATTTTTATAACCCCAAGTATGTGCAGTCTTCCCGTGGGCACTGTTCCCAAGGAGACTGGCTGTGCTATCGAGCACTTCCCCCTAATTTAATAAGGAGTTTGATGAATAGTGTAGAAAACATTTGATATGTAGCCAGTTAGTTTGTTGCAAAAAATTGATGCTTCTATGCAAAAGCTGTAAAAATAGTAGTTATGCAGTAAACATACAATGTATCAATATAGAACGTAGGCTGAGTCCATGTTGGTGTCCAACTTCTCATCTAAAGCAGTAACATTTTTTGGCTGCTTCATAGCTGCGTACTGCTGATAAAGGTCACACATTCTGTTTAAGTGTTTAATAGTTATGAACTGTCTTGTGTTGGATTTACAGCAACAGGAACAAGACCCCACCAACCTGTACATCTCTAACTTGCCAGTCAGCATGGATGAGCAGGAACTGGAGTCGCTGCTGAAACCTTTTGGACAGGTCATATCCACTCGTATCCTGCGCGATGCTAGCGGGACCAGTCGAGGTGTTGGTTTTGCAAGGTGAGTTATCTCATGGTATGATAGTGGCAGAAAAATTTTCTCCATGCATAGACACCACTTCATTTGAGAATTTACATATCTTTAAGAGGAGCACTATGATTTTGAATAATCTTCGTGCTGTTCTGAACTTGTATGAAGAGACCTTCGTATCCCAACATTACATTTAGGGACTGAAAAGCTGCAATATATTTGTTTTGGGTTTAGATAATTTTGTCTTTCTTCCAAATTGGCCCTAGTGTATGTATGATTCTGGTAGGTACTCCTTCTGGAGGACATCTACTGATTTTATTGGTTCTCTGTAAAGTGCTACATATGTTGGCACTATGTAAATAAGTAAGCAAATTTGTATTTGTTTCTGTTATAGATAGAGGATGTCACACCTCCTTTTTTTCCAAGTTCTTAAATAATTGCTCTATAGGTTTAATATAGATCTTCACTACACAGTTTGGGAGGCCACGCTGTCCTGCACATAGCTTCATATATGACTGTGAGATGATAGCCTAGGTTTCCAGTAATGGCATAAGGAATCTTTATTATTATACAGGATTTATATAGCGCCAACAGTTTGTGCAGCGCTTTACAATATAGGGAAGACATTACAATTACAATACAATTCCATTTACCTTGATTTTCAGTTCCACCTATTTAGAATATGTAGCCCTGTCAATAAATTGTGTGTGATTTCTTTTTAAATGCAGTGTTCTTCATGCATGTATTGTTTACCGCCACAGTTGTCTGCCTCCACTGGTTTCAATCATTTCCCAGTTTTCATTGACCCTACAATCGACATTTCAACTTTTAGGCCTTCATTTATAAAACGTAGCACGGCACTGGGACTCCTGGTTAGGAAATTCCTATATTCGTCAGCGCCATCTAGGGGCACAAATGCTGTGCTACGGTTTATAAATGAAGCCCTTAACGTGGAACTAAACTTAAATAAAAAACTGCTGGAGAGGTTTTGGCAGACGAGACAGGCACATTCACTTCTGCCAAAAAAACTGCCTCTTTTCCCATCTAACAGTTGTTTATTTTTCTGTTCATACTGTATGGCGCATGTGCAGTTAGATCATCAGTGGCCACGCAGTGACGAAGAGGATTTCTGGGAACATGGAAGTAGTATCCAAAGAGATGGCATACATACACATTATGGCAGGAGTGCACACACCAGCATGGAATTTACTTGGGATTAAAAGGATTTTGCATAGGATTTTGTTACTCCCTGTGACATCACTAGGCTTTCAATATTCTTGCAGTAGCAGCTGCTGGAAACTCCGTTAATGTAGCCACACCCTCTCACAAGAACTGCATCACCCAGGAGCCATTTCCTTCCACACAGTGTGTGGACAGTCCATCAGGAGTCAATTGGTTTGCTGGGAAAGAAATCAGTGTATGCACATGAAATAAAACTGAACGATGAGGGATATATGGAGTTCTCCAGTCCATAAGGCAGTGCTGACAATGTTGGTTGGGATTTCAGAGCAGCAGGGGCACTGTGCTTTATCCCAAACAGGAGTAATTGTATATCAGTTGTAACCTATGTAAACGTTTAATTATCAGTATCACTTTTTAGCTGAGAAAGGGACAAAAGAGTTGAAATTCTGCTTCCTTCTTCCACAGAATGGAATCTACGGAGAAATGTGAAGCTGTGATTTCTCATTTCAATGGCAAATACATGAAAACGCCCCCTGGTGTCCCAGGTGAGCAGAACATCTGAATTCCAGCAATTCTCATTTGTAAATGCTGTTTTACATGCAGCTAAACAGTGTCGGCACCTTGTTATATGATAACTAAAAAATTGAAGAGTTTTAGGGGGAATTATAGTTTGTGAAGAAGATGTTACAATTTGGGATTTTCCCCTCACTTTCTTTCTCGATGACGGTGGTTATCAACTAGAGGCCTGAATCTCCTCAGTGGAGACAGGCAGTAATGTAGAAGAGATTTTTTTTTAATTTTGTATGGATGCCCATCTTCACCTGTCAGACATGGGGATATGATAACCTGATAATACACTATGGCTCAGTCTTAAGTAATGCAGCTTTGCACAACTGAGATTTTTGGTTTAGTTTACAATAAGCACATCAATATATTTTTTATACCTACCACATTGCTGTTAAAAGAGAATATGATGATCATTATACATATATATAGCGTACAGAGAGACTTGCATTAGACTGTCCCATAGGAACTTGTATCATTCTTGAGAGATATTGTTCTATTGATCAGTAATGGGGTGTATAGCTGGTGTTGCGATTTAACAGTCTTGTATGACTTTATAATCTGCATTCTAGTGCTGTGGGTAAAGAACTAATCTGATTACCATGATTCTAGAGCATTCCTACACTCCACCATAGCCCCTGGGGAGCTTCTAGTGCTGGGGCCTCAGGGCTCCTTATAGTTGTGCAAGTTTAAACTTACACCATAATCTTAACCATAAACTTACTTGCCATGATACTCTTTCTTTAGCACCACAAGAACCCCTCCTTTGTAAGTTTGCGGATGGAGGACAAAAAAAAAGACAAACCCAGGGGAAATACATTCAAAACGGACGTGGCTGGCCACGAGAGGGAGATACGGTAATTTTTACAATATTCCCTCATTCTCTGTTTTCTTCATCGTTTAATATTTCCTTTCCTGCGGTTTGTTTCGGTACATGTTCAGTTTGTATTCCTATTACAACAGTTGCTATTTATTTCATAGGGTGGAATGACATTGACATATGATCCTACAACTGCCCTGCAGAATGGGTAAGACTCTTGGACCTTCTTTGATTGCCATTCATTTTGTGTGTTATGTGAGCCAGTTTTGTCAGTAAGGGAGCTGCATATTTTAGTGCATGCCAAGTATTGTGGAAATAGCTTGTTAAAAAGAATCTGCAGATTTAACCACAAGGAGTCTTTGGCAGGAAGCAATGGGCAGCCCTATATGGCAAAGCCTATGGGCTTAATAACTATAAAGGCTATAACTATTTTTTGGGGGGCCATAAAAATTGTTAACATCAATGAGAGCTGGAAATAAGTCACGTGGCATAATATAGCTATTGTAATAGCAAAAAACACACATAGTGTAGCTAAATAAATTGAGTGTCATGTGCAAATATCAACTAAATAATACAGTGTAGCATTTTGCCTCATTCTATATGAAAAATTGTGATGTTGAAGCAGAGTATTAAAAAAAATAGCAAACACAGTTTGGCAGAATATAGTACAGTATAAATGTGATTAAAAAAAAATAATTCTCCGTGTACCTTCCACTGAAAATAATAGACATTATAATGTTTAGTTGTGTACATTATCAATGAAAATTTGGGTGAAAAATGGGCAGTAAGTCAACTGACAAAGTCTTCAGGAATAATATTTTAACATGTTTTACCCATAGCTCGAATACACTGAAAATGAGTAGGGGAAACACGCCATTACTTTGCTATTACCTTTTATAAATAGGCTCTTAGGCCTCACATTGCCACCACTTCTATTAGACTAAATTATGATATATGCTTAGTGCGTATATGTTTTCTCCAAATTTATCTGGTGGTTATTTTTGATGTGACCAAGAAGGAAACGGTAACACACAAACACTGAATATGATATGAGTAATATTGTTGCCCCCTCCTAATTATTTATAGTACTGATGCTTTCGTGCAGCAATTTGCAAAAAATATGATACCATTCATACCAGTCCCTTCCAGTGAGGAGACCTACAATCCAATGTTACAAGCACACATATAAAGAAATTATTAAAGGTATTGAAGACCTAGGAAGACACTAATATTATTACGCACATTAGGCTGATCATATTTTTATATATACAGCCCATACATAATTTGTTTAAAAGTCTGTAGATTCCCTTTAGTTGGCACACCATCAATTTTCTCATAACAATTCTGAACCCTCCACCCCTTAAACACACTTACTTGTATCATAACTTTTGGGCTCTTTTTGCTCTATGAAGGTTTATTCTAATCATGCCCCGTGCATAATATTAGAGAGCCTGTACTTATCTGTTCTAGAGCCTAGATCTAGAACAGATAAGTAGATAGGGCGAATGTGGAATCAAAGCCAGTTGTTAAATGGTACAAAACACAAAAATTCCCCAGCCTCAACCTGCCAGCCAGCCTGCAACCAAACAAGTAGCCCTGTCAACAGTATGCGGTAAAATCAGAGGTTTTAGTTGCACAAACTTTTACCTGGAGGTAGCCTACTCCTCCTAATAAGGTGCAGGGACGCACTGGGGGCCCAGCAACCAAAAATGCACGCTGGGACACCTTATTAGGAGGAGTAGGCTACCTCCAGGTACACCTGCATGCAATCTATCGACTTCATTAATATGCTCACACTTGGAGACTCGGATACATTGAGTTAGGACCACACTTTGCAGAGGTGCCTTGGCGCGGCAGTGTGGCTTCTACATATTTTTGGCCAAAAGTTTGTGCAACTAAAACCTCTGATTTTAACGCATACTGTTGACAGGGCTACTTGTTTGGTGGCAGGCTGGCTGGCAGGTTGAGGCTGGGGAATTTTTGTGTTTTGTATTGTTGTAAGCCTTCCCAATGTGCGCCCTGCTATAAAGGCTGGTTATAGATTCATGCATGTACCACTTTTTTCCAGTTGTTAAATGGGCCTTTCATTCACTTGGGGCTCTTGGTCTGTTGCGAATTGGCTGTTTTTATTCTATTGTTCATTTTAAAGTGAAGTTTTGAGGAAGGAGCGGTGGAATCCTCTCCAGTTTGCGGAAAAAAGTGCAAATTTAGCTAAATTCATTTCATATCCTTACTGGTTTCTGTTTTGTTGATTATGAGATATACTATACCAGTATGCTTGCTGAAACGTTTCAAAATGAATGGGAGAGATTGCCTTTACTGTAACATCATGATCAGTGATGTGATACAAAACATTGCACCCTCAGCCCCTAGTGCAGTAACCTAACAAAATCTGTTCTTTTTTTCCAAGTAAAAGGTACACCTAGCCATGTGTAACCTCCGAACTGACTTATCAGAGCTCATGCAGGGATATGGTCTCCCAAGTGGCCAAGTAGGAGGCATCTAGCGCTAACAGATGGGACAAGGGGCATTATTTACTTTTTCACCCATACCTAGACGTGTTGGGTATTTAACTTTGTTCCTGGTGTCCAAGGAGAGCAGTGGGGGAGAAAAGGAAAGATGGGTATGTTCTGCTGAGGAAGGGAAAGTACATATTTTTGTTGTCCCTGTTTCAGGAAGTGGAAGGTTCACTTTAAGAGAAACTTGTGCTGAAATAAATTAGATACAATACCTGACCACTACTGGTAAGGCTAGTTTACTGAATGTTATGCTGATCCAGTGCCTTCAGTAGTTTCTAATGGGGATGTTCAGATACCAAGTACTGTACTTGGTACAAGTACATGTACAGATACTTTTCCAGCTCCAAGACTAGACTAGAGAAAAATTTAAAAGTTAGGAGGCGGCTGTCATTTTTAAGGAGCATATGGAGCTCCTGGGATTTGTGCATCCCTGTTGTAATGTATGATTTGTTTTATATAACTATATATTAGGGATGCACCGATACCATTTTTTCGAGTACTGATACTTGTCCAAGTACTCACAGATACAAGTACTGATACATTTTTGTTTAGTGTCATGTGACAGTTTTTCTAAAACAATACAGACTAATGATTTCAGGACAGTGGCGGAGCGCCAGAGATAGGTCCTAGCTGCAACCGCTGCAACCCTGATAGTCCTCATGAAAATGCCAAGTATCAGCACTGGTATCTGAACATCCCTAATTTCTAAGTGACTGACCTGGAACAAGTATACAAATCAGGTAGTCTGACTTCATGTGCCGAAGGAGGTCAATAGCCTAGCTATGTACTTCTCTCAGTACAGATCTCCTTTATTGAATGCTGGATTACAAAATATGCATTCTGCTACCCTTTGTTACATCACTGATTCCAATCAACACTGGATCTCCAGTTGCATGTGGGATTATCTTTTACTACCATTGATACACAAAATGCTAATGTTACACAAAATGCTACACAAAATTGATACACAAAATGCTAAATGTTTGATGGGTACAGAATCAATAGAACAATCAATACGGTTTATTAAACTACAATGGAATTTATGTAGGATTTTCATAATTAAACTTTTAGTTCTTGTCTTGTTTAATTTACTCAATAGGAGTGGGCAATTTGTAAGGCAGCCATCTTGGCACAGTTTTAGTCTAAGGGCTTGTTCACACCATGGCCATTGATCTAGGCTTTTCTGCACACCACTGCAGTATGGTCTAAACGGGGCACATAGCAAACCATTCTTTTGTGCTCTGTTCACCCCATACATGTGCGACAGTGTGCAGAAAAACCCAGCGCATTGGACACATGGTGTGAACAAGACCTAAATTAGCATTTTGATTTGTGCGCATTGTGAATTTTGTAGTTTGCTATTGACAGTATGTATTGTGTGCGTTTACCATATATTTTATTATTTGATGTTTCTCAGGTTTTATACCACCCCATACAGTATTGCCCCAAACAGGGTAATCGCTCAGGCAGCCCTCTCCCCATACCTGCAATCACCTGTATCTTCTTATCAGGTAAGACTAATATTAATCTTTATTCTGGCAAGACTTGTAATGCAATTCCAGTTTAGACAGGCTGTTTTATTGGATGATATACCTGTGTAGGTTTAGCTCAATTTGCTTAGTTGTAACAGTTATTTGCCATAACGGCTGTCATTTTCTAGCAGCAAGAGCTCAGTACATAAGGCATACAACTGGTTTTAGCACTGGCCTATGTAGCAGTTAACTGTCAGCAGTAATGAACCCTTGACAGTGTTGGAAAAGCTTGTCTGTCAGCGATTATTCTCTCTTCCCCCCTAGAAGAGGAGTGTGTTATGAACATGGATTGGTAGCTCTCTTACCACTTGTTCTTAGGATATGTGCCTTTATTTGGTTTTCTATATGCCTTAATGTACTGATGTGTGTGCTTCTGGAGTACCTTAAGTGATGTTATAGAAACGTGGAAAAAAATGATATGCTCTATTTGTTTGTAGGTTCATAATCCCTCCTGGATGCATCATCAGTCTTACCTCATGCAGCCTGCAGTGAGTATTAATTATTTGCATATATAGAACCCTCTTTCTTGACTGTCCAATGTTTCTGTTCTTGTCTTTCTTTTGCACCCACTGCTCTGCCACTGGTGCCAGCTTCCTTTTATGCCCTTAAAAATCTTTATAGCCTTGCATACTTAAAAAGCATGATGCCTTAAAGGGGGTTTCCACGTTAAACTGGAAGAAAACTTCTGCTGTCTTTTATAATGCAGATGTGTCTTTACTTTGATTTGGTCCTCTTGCCTGTAAGAGCAGGTCCCCTCTTCAGCTGCTGTTTAAGAGGTGGTCATGGAATTGAAGATCTTGGTCTGTAAAAATGAGACTTGGAAAGATGGGGGGCACATAACATTGTTAAATGGAGATTAGTTTATAGAAGAACTCCAGGCAGTATAAAAAAATTAACCCTTGCAGTGGAGCAACCCCCGCACTGCCAAGGTTAAGTGCTCGTTTTTGTCTAAGGTCTAAAAAAAAAAACAAATCCTTGGTCTGGCGGCAGTGACTCCTTAGCTTTCTCCCCTTCCCAGTCTGGCTATGGATCTGGTAAGTATATTTCTTTTACTTTAGACCCTAGACCAAAACGAGCATTTAACCCTTGCAGTGTAGGTGTTCATTTTTTAACTACCCTGAGTTCTTCTTTAAACTAATCTCAGTTTAACAATGTTATGTACCCCCCATCTTCAATGTTATGTACAGGTCTCGTTTGCATACCTCTTTAACTTACAAGTGAACCCCCCTTTGCAGGATGTCTCCTGTGAGCACGGAAACTAAATACATTTATAAAACATGCTTTTGCATATCTGTTTCCATATCTCAATGAAGCAATAAAGCAAAGGGAAAAAACAATATAGCTTATTAAAGTAAACCTGAAAATTTGTACTATAATAGTTTAAATTAATTGATGTGTCTCAACTGTGTGTTGTCAAGGAAAGCCAGAATATTATTTTTCTATCCTATAGCATTGCTTCACAATGCACAAGTGTTGCTGGACCGCTACTTGCACGTATGTTAACAAGAAAAATGTGCTTTTTATTGAGGACCACAGCTGAGAAACGCTTATCTAGACCCTTTCCAATCATGTGGCATAGCTGGAAGGTGACATTGTGGTTGTGTGCACTGTGGCCTCTTGAACATTCACTCTTTGTTAGGGAACTGTCCTCACTCCCACTATGGACCATGCTATTTCCATTCAGCCTGCTTCCATGATGGGACATCTGACTCAACAGCTGGGACACCTGTCACTGGGGAGCACGGGAGCGGTAAGATATTTCTTTTTTCATTTAAAAAAATTTATATATTTTTTTAAATCATGTTATAAATTATTATGAATCAAAAACAAAGATGCTGAGAATATATATGTAAGAATGTTTTTAACAACAAAGTTGAATGGCATATAGTGAACATACATTGGGGGGACTAATCCTCCAAATATATAGGCTATAGAGAACATACTGGAGCAGATGGAATCTGGAGCTGTTGTCCATAGTAACCAATCCGCTTCTTGTTCAGTTAAGCTTAGAAAATGAAAGGTAGAAGCTGATTGGTTACGACGGGCAACTGCTCCATGTTTTGTCTGCTCCAGTATTGATAAATTCCCCTTACTATGTTTTACATTTCTGTCTATCACCTGCTTGCTATTGGAATCATCAGTGTTTTCCATTAATGTGACCCTGTCAGGGTCACTTTTAGCCAAGAGGTCACCTTTTAAAAGAAATAAATATATAAATATATACTTACCTTTTTTATTGTCCTATGTTTTAAAAAGCTGTTCCTCAGCCACTGCAAGTTTTCTGCCCTCCCAATACTTGCTCCCCCTCCGGCTGCTGTTCGTTCTTCCCACCAGCTCTTGTTTCCTGCAGTGACATACAAGCCGGTGTATGGAACCACAACAGGCAGAGGGGGGTCAAGTATAGGAAGCATAGAATACTTGCAGGGGCACAAAATATTCCTCACACCGGGAAGTGTTGTATACCTGCAGTCTCTGGTGAGCTGAGAAGGTGGCTTTTTAATAGACAGGCCCCCAGAAAGATAAGTATATAAACACTTCTTTTACTATTGACCTCTTGTCTAAGTAAGTTCTGATGACTGGATCACTTTACATAAATTTTAATAAAAACTGAATAAGGCCCCTTTCGTACCAGCTAATCAGGAGGGGGATCTGTACACGGATGGAGGAAAGTGTTGGAAATACAGCAGCATATGCTGATATCTACTGATTGTATTACTGACTTTCTGATGTGTACTGATATGTCTTTTGAGCTGTAGATGGCTCTGTATTGCAATGTTACACTCTGTGTGTTTCCTTTACAATGCTGTATACACATATGTAACGTTCTTTTAAGCAAGTAAAATTAATTCAGTATTCCTCAACATCTCAGTGCTTTATCTAAACACATAGCCAATAGAAAGAAATGAAACTGCCGAACCCCATGTCTGTCTATGGGGAATTGGATGTAAACGTTTGGCTGGAGGCAGGGGTAACCGGTTTTAAATGGACGCCCGTCCGTTTATACACCACTGCCCATAGACTTACATTGGGAGTCCGATCAGATCCGCTAGAAAAACTGGCAGGCGGATCTGTTCAGACTGCCCCTACGAAAGGGGCCCAAAGAAGTAAATGTTTTAGTGATTAGCTTAAGCTTCACTGTAATAATTTTAATGCTGCTTTTTTTTTCATTTTTGCCGCTAGTATATGCCAGCTGCTATGCAGGGGGCCTACATCCCCCAGTACTCGTCCGTGCCTTCTACTGTCTCCCTAGAGGTGAGAAGCTCTTTTGGATGAATGTGAAGGAATTGGGGGGTAGAATTGAGATAGAACAGTGCAGACATAAAAAAATGCCAACATTCTGGAGAAAAAAAAAGTTAGCCTTTGTTATCCTCTTTTCTAGAGCACATTTGTTTTGAGTTTTTAGTTAATTTTTTTCCTGTTTATGATTTTTATTTCTGTGTTTAGCTATGTAAAGAGCTGTTTAGAGTTAGCATGACAGATTCCCATGTTTGGTGATATGTTCTCCATGTTTATTGGAATGTCATTGCTGATATGTGCCTCGTTCTTCCATTTGCTACTATAATTAGCTTGCACATCTACCTACCCGTGGCCTCATCCCAGGTCAGATCGGCTCACAGTAATAAAAAGATCAGATATATTTCATTTTATCCATCATTCGTAGGTTCTTTATGTGTCTAATGCATTTTTGATAGGTCCATTATTATTTTTGGATGGGCCTCAAAATGCTGAGCAATGAGGCAGGTTCTAACATTTCACAGACTCCTCCTAATTATTTGTTTTGCTCAGGAGAGCAGCGGGCAGCCTCAACAAGTTGCCGTGGAACCCACCACAGACCACGCCGCTTATTCGTACCAGTGAAAGAAAGTGTAGGTAAGAGAACAAGGCTGTTCATATTTAAAGGGTCACTGGTCGTTTTTAACTATCTGTATGTGTATAGTGCATATAGTCTTACATTAACCCCTTTACACAATTTAAGAAGTTGTTGACTGTATCATATACTGCAGTATATTGAACCAGTGAAAGCTGCAGGTGATTCAAGAGATTGACACTCCTGGAAGTGTCGGTTTCTCACGAGACATCAGGAGGCAGTTTCTCAGGATCAGTGCAATGTTTCATGGCACAGGTAGCGGAAAAGGTGAGTTTATACCTTCAGCTACAGGTAATGGCTTTTACTTTTTTTTCTGACCCTATCACTTTAAATACAATTTAATGTCATGATAAGTTATGTCATGCCAAAATGTTGTTTTTTTTAAGCTACCGGTAGAAACCCTGTGTTTACTGCTATCCGGGGCTACGTATGAGATATTTTTCACTCCTGTCCTGCTGATGTTTCACCAGACAGGAAGTGAGGGAAAATCTGCAACAGGATCGCAGACAGAAATATCTGACAGGAGTTCTATACTTCCCTAAAAAAGCATGGTCTGTGGTGCTGGTGGAGAGTTACCTTCACTTCCTATCTGGTAAATGATCAGCGGGGCAGGATGTGATGGAAAAAAAAAATCTTTAAGGGCCTGTGTTGACAGGCTTTTGTTCGCTTCAAGCAAGTTTTACATTCTCATACAAGTCCTATGTGAATGCAAAACCTGCTTGAAGCAGTTGAAATGCAGGTGAGGTGGAGGTCGACCCAAGTCCAAAGCCTGTTGACACAGACCCTAACGGATCCCCAGGTAGCCGTAAAAACCTGACAGGGGTTCCACCTCTTCCCCACTCTATCCAAAACTAAAACAAAAGTTTTGGCTTGACATACACTTTAAATAACTTTATAGGCTGGGCAGCAAGGCTGGTTAGACATTATAATAAATAAGGTTTTTAGAAACTTTAACGTAGAAACTGCCTTTATTTTGTGGATCCCCCTCCCTGGGGCCACCAGTGATCAGCTGCATGCAATCTGCTTTGGGGCCAGGGCCGGCAGGCAGAGCGGCATGTCCGCTATCCTACACAATGTTTGCAGCTTGCCTGCCGCCCCCTTTCCTGCCAGAGCATCCCAAATTGCTAAGAGCCAGGTGGTGAGATGTGTAAGGGCCATACACATCTCCCCACCCAGCTCTTAGCAACCTGAGATGCCCTGGCCGGCGTCCCGCTCAGCTCCTGGAAACCAGTGACGTCACTGCTTGCCAGAAGCTGAGCAGGATGCTGGCCAGAGCTGGGTGGGGAGGTGATGCAGCTGCTGCTAAGACTGGCAAAAAGCTAGGAGCTAGGGACGCCTCTGTGTGGGGTCCGGCAAGCTGTCAGTCAAGGTGATGTAGATCCTGCCTAAAGCTGGCCATACACCTCCTAGATTATCTACAGATTTTCTATGGTCAGGTGGAATAAATTGTGCAACAGATTCCTCCATCTACGCTAAACTGTGTGGCTGGAGGAATCTCCCACTAGCTGTTGAACTGATGAAAGGTTGAACAGCTTGTTCCCGCAGCATATTGTGAACAGCTGAATGCCAAGAGTCCCAAATAGCAGACCTTCCTCCACTGGGCAGTGTGCCTCAATTTAAGGGGTTTTCTACTTTTCCTGGCTTGAAACCTTGACCTGATCCACCCACCATTGGCTGGATCGGAAAGCTTATGTCTCATGCGTGTACGAAGAGGGAGGTTACAACTATATGGTGCATGCTTGGCCCGATTTTGAAATCTGCATGTTGAGTAGGACATCCAAAATCATGTCCATATGTGAGTGTTATTAACATTTCTTGTGAATGAGAAGTGTAAAATGACATTATTACCTCAGGAGCTTCCTTCTTTTCTCTCATTTCCACACACGCTATAATTTTGAAGCCCATGTGTACCTTATATGCTTGCATTTGTACTAAAAAGTTATAATTTCTTTGTCAGGTTCACATGTGGGAATGAGTCAGCGTAGGAAGTGACCAGATGGAGAGCTGCAGGGCTGAACATGAGGCTTTACTGAAAAACGGGGAAAATTGAAGAGGAAAATTAAAAAAAACACACACACACATTGGGGGTGGGGATGAATGAAGAAAAAAATATTTTTCTTTCTTTCTTTTGCAAAGAAGCATTTTTACTGCAATAAACTTTAAACTTCCAAGGAACCAAAGCAGCTAGAAAAAAAGAGAACTCAAGAAATGTTGTGAAACCAGAACAGACTTTCAAATCTCAACTGAGACTTAAAAGGAAGAAAAACAGAAAAAAAAATGAAAAAAGCTAAAAATTAGAAAAAAATCCAAGAAAACGTAAAAAAACAAATTCTATTTTAATAAGAAGATTTTTTTGTCATTTTTTTTACCGTAGAATATTTTTTTTTATTTTTATTTAAATGCGTGCCGTACAAGGAAAGCGCAGTACCAGGACATAAGCCGGCGGAACGTATGCGAAAGAGAGACTGCAAAGGGGAAGTTGCAATTTTGCTGCCTGACGCCATTTTATTTTTCACATTTTTTAAAGACTGTGGGGTTGGATTTTCTTTTGTCTTTTTTTTCTCAGGAGGGGCAGCGGGTGGGGGAGGTTTGGGGAACAGGGAGTTAAAAAAAAAATTATATGCAAAAATGGTTTTCTCTCTCTCTTTTTCATTCTCTCTCTCACTCTTTTTTTTGGAAGGCAATTTTATTATGTTGTTGAATTTATGTTTGTGCTTAAAGTTTGTCACCAATATAATTTTTTTTTTTTCTTCCCAAAATGGAAGCCTTGGCAAAAAGGTCCAGCTAAACTGAAATGGGTGCTGGGCATGGTACATGTAGAGTTATAGGAAGAATGTAACTGAAAGTTTTGTAAAGTGGTTTGTTGCACGCGTTAGACCATTCAGGCTTCTTAATTTAAGTATGAGACTGTACCTCTTTTATGCCTGCATCTGAGTATTTCAGAATTGGCCTGTAAAGTAACTTCATCTGCAGAAATCTACTTGGCATAGTGGGACTGTAGCCTGTGCTAATTGTGCTGGCCTTCATAGTAAGAACTAACTAACTTTATTTCCCTAAAGTCAATTCACTAATTTTATTTAGTTCATAGCAGACAGACTTAAAAATTACCCCTGGGTTTACCAGATCATTTGATACATGGTGATAAAAAAAAAAACCACATAAACCCATTTAAGGAACATTTGAAATTTTTTAGCTACTTGTAAGAAGACACACCCTTGCATTTTCAGGTGAAGACCTGACGTTCTAATGCTGGCCATATAATAAGATTTTCACATGCCATGCAACATATTCCAGCATAACTTGTGACAAGTGTTGGAATCACTGTATGTATCAGACAGCGCTCAGATCTTTTTCTGACTGACCAAAAGTATTTTGCTGTCCCAAGTTCTTAATGGCACATGACCATGCATGCTTGTATGCTATAATCCTATATCTTGTAGGCAACCAATTGCCTATCTTGCCGAAATATACAGGCAATTGACAAAAAAAACACCCATCTTGACTGATTGTTGTTTTGACAAGTCTTAAAGTGACACTAAACTCAGAAGGTAAATCTTAAAAATGCATTTAAGTACCTTAACGATTAAACAAAGTAGCTTATTTGTGCAAATTCAGAGATGATTTCAGGATCTACATATGAGTGATACACAAATCAGATCCAGCATTGTTATTAGTTAAAGGGTTATTGAACCCTCTGGGTTTTTTTGCATATATCTACTGCTAGCAAGCAGTAGATATATGGAAAAAGTGTAAAAAAAAACAAAAAAGAAAGAAAATGCTTTAAAAAGGGTTAATACTTACCTGTGTCTTTCCCATGCGCTCCCGCCCGAAAATGTGAAAATTCTCGGGCGGGAGGGCGGGCCGCAAAGTAGCTTAGGGCGGGCGCATGCGCAGTTCACATTTTCTGCCGGGAGGCAAGGAGAGACACAAGGTAAGTCTATGGACGCATGCAGACACCGTGGGACAGGAAGTGCGAGCAAGCTCAGAGTCATCGCTGGATCGGAAACCCGCTGGAGAGACAGATGAAAAGGAAAGGAAAGAAGATCAGATTAAGAGACATCATTTAAGGTAAGTGCTGACATTAACATTGGGGAGGGAAAAATATTTTTTACTTTAATGTCGCTTTAAGGTACTTGAATGCATTTTCAAATACGATTTTATTGAAAAGATGACAGGTAAATTAAACCGTGAGAAACATACCCTGTGAACCATTCAAGTGCAAAGATATATAACATAAATTTTCAAAACAATTAAAACAACAATTAAAAACAAGTAAAACCTGCAAATGGGTAATAGCAGGTATCGATTCGGCATCAAAACAATGTTTAATCAAGCCAAAATAGGGCAACTTGAATGCATTTTTAAGATTTAACTCCTGACTTTAGTGTCGCTTTAAGGGTGCCAAGTTTATTTAAATTGGTGTATAATTATTTTTACATTTTCAAGTATGTTAGGATGTTTTGATCTTTTGTCATACATGATGGAAGCTCTGTCCATATGTGACCAGCATTCGACTTGGCTGCTTTTTAATGCAGAAAATGGGAGCATTTGAATGCTCCCATTTTCTGCATTATTTGCACACAGTAGAGATTCCCAAACCTAAAATAAGATGATCACAGTTTGAGGAAACAGACGCTTATAATAGTCACAACAGTAGGGACCTATGTATAGAGGAACGTTTTTTTTTTAAACTACAACTGTGCCATTTTTTAAAAAATGCAGTGTTTTTTTGTTTATAAATAACCCTCTGTGTATCACAACGGAGAAAGGCAGAAATATTTAAGGTTATTTGCTATTTGGTCTTAGTCTCTAATTTAGTCACAGTGCAAGGGGGCACCAAGATGGCTCCCTACAATGCAACTTTCATTTTAACCATCTTCTTTTCTGAAAAGTCTCCAGAAATTTCCATAACTTCTTTTGTGAAATGTGATTGAAGTCTGCTTAAATGAAACAAGTCGGTAAGGAAAGATGTTTGTATGCTAAGTAGTCATTTAATATTGGATAAGCATGGATAATGCATCCTATATTTAAAGCTGGCAGGTCTAGTTTGAATCTTTTAGTAGTGAAAAAGTGTAAAGTACCATTGATCTGGCTCCTTAGCCATTCTAAGGATCTATACTCTGCAGCATGCTTCATACATGGCTGTAGGTCAGCTCAGTGTAGGTCTTTGGCTGTATAGTGGTTCTGGAATACTGCAGTTAGATGAGGATTCTGGCAGAGTTCTCTAGCTTTAGTGAGTCTTCTTGCGGATTTTATTGCTGTGTGGTGCTCTTTTCAATGTACATATTTTAAAGTAACCATAGCCTGGGGCTTTACAGGCTTCTTGAAGGTTTTCCTATGTATCAGTGGCTGAATGGCAAACATGAGGTCAGATAGATAACAGAATTAGTGTAGTATTGTGGATAGGATTAAACGTCAAAATAATGTTAATGCAAACAAAACTGGTAAAGGGTAAGAGTAGTGGTACACCAAAATCCATTTGTTTAGTTTTGGTTGGAAGATGACAAGGGTGTCTGCTAGTTTAGGTTCTAGTTATCTATTGGCTCCATTGAAGGTCAGCCATTGTGCTTTTACTCAATCTCATCACTGCTAAAGCTGGCCATGCGCTATGCGAATATTGACCGGTTCTTTATGAACCCGTTGAAACTCACACAGTGGGTGTCCCTGTCGGCACCCTTCCGGCCAGCATCCCTCGATCAGCTGATCAAAGGAGCTGGTTGGAAAATCTTTGTCCCAACAGAGCTTGCAGCCAATTGGATGGAAGCTTTGCTCGGGTATTCTGGCCGGCGGCCGCTGCCAGGATACAATGAAAACAACCGGGGAATTCCTCCATCCATGCTCGTGAGTGCTGATGGAGGAATCTGTTATATTTTCTTTGTTCAGGTTGAACAAAGAAAATATAACCATATATGGCCAGCTTTACATTACCTGCCAGTCTTCAAACTCCAAAAACCTCAGCAGTTAATGCTCCGGCATTGACAGATCACTGTGGGCGGGTGAGAGCAGGAGGCTGCTTGGGAACTGTGCTACAGTGGGGTCCTTCCATAGGTATGACTGTACACACCACTTACCATAGTCCTCCTCCATTTAAAACGAATTTAGCATTTTTGGTGGCATTCTCATTGACACATTTTTGTTTTCTTTTTAATGTTCAGATTTGTTTTTAGACTGTCAGCCCCGCGGCATGCACTATTTTAGTGACATGTTTAAATTGTAATATTTGTAGAAGGCTAGCTCCTTCCTTCCTGACCTGGACTTTTGAAACTGTTTATCTTATTGTTTGTATACTTTGTCATTAAAAGAGGGCTTCCATTATTTCTACATTTATTTACTTCTAGTGTAAATAAATGTTGAGTGCATTGAGGACAAAGTCTTCCTCTCCTTATTTGTATTGAAATAAAGTATAGCAACCAGTCAGATTTTACTCAGCCTCTTCATCCTTTTCTAGAAAAGTTAGAATCTGACTGGTTACTATGGGAAATACCTCCATTGTTTTAGTAGAATGCCCCAGGTAGAATATTTGAAGATGTTACAGCTTTTTTCCCCAAGATGCATGAGAGTGTTTTACCTCCTAATGGTAAATGTATTACTCTGGTGAGGAGGATGAGTTTTGCGGGCCATGTTCAGACTGTTATCCCTGTTTTAGGAGTACTGTGCAATGCATCAATTAAGTTCAATGCCCTTTTTCTATCCCTAAAGTTTAGTCCGCAGTACACATCAAGATACAATAATGTTCATTTATTTTGTGGGTAGAGGTTTCCATTTGTTGTGCTGTGACTGGCATTGAGATTCATCCCTTAAAATAAACCTGTCATGGGAGAAACATGAAGCCCATCATTGCTGACCTCTTTCTATGTAAATGCTAGTTGTCTGGCTGACATGATCTCAATACTTTAAGTCACTGACCCAGAACAAATCTACAGCTAAGGACTTTGTGTAACTTTCCTGACCTGCACACTGGGCCGATGACTCAATAGAAAACCCAGGCAGCCAGCATATTGAAAAGGTCAGCAGTGGTTGGCCCTGCATTTTGCAGAGGTGATTGACGCATGAAGTACAAATTTCAGTACTGTGTTCCTATAAAATATTGATTTATTGATCATAGTTTACGGTTTCTGAAAATCTGGACTATAACATTCATACTTACAATGTAATATGTGGAAGACTTTTTACCAGTTTATTAATCTAACAGAATAACGTATAACATATAATTTTGACTTTTTAGGGAAGTGTAGTCCTGTCCTGTTACAATTGGCTGTAAGATGT